TATATAAAGAGAGCTCTACTATGGACCCTTTAGAGACGCGAACTTGAGTTCTTTCACAGAGCATCTTCTAGAAATACTCTGTATATAGCATTAGCCATGTTCAAAATGCTGAAACAAAGGCTTCCAGTTGATTGGTCAGTCTCAGAGCGCGCTAGATAAAGAAAGAAGGTCTTCTCGTTTTAAAAATCGTCGGTGCTTACTGCATAACAGCTACACTTGCACTTTTACTGTAAACCATTATTACACTCTGTTACTGTAAACCATTATTACACTCTGTTAAAATAATAATGAATGAGAATTCTGAGTGTTCCATATGGCAAACTGTTTGATTTGCGCTTAGTGTAATAAGAATTTTTAACAATAACCCCTTTTGTAGTTACTCCATTTTGGCGCCAGAATGCTGTCGCAGGGAATCTGGGGACAAAATAGCCCTTTTATTGAAACAGACGCTACAAATTTAATACTGGCCTAACAGTCAACAGAAGACATCCGCAAAAAGAACTCATAGAGATGTATGGACAACCAGCTAAAATTGTAGTTTCACTGTTACCGTTGGCAGCCAGTCCAAAAATAAATCGGCTTTCCGTACATAAGCTAGTAACCTTCACGTTTAGTAACGCTTCGCATTGTAAGCGCGAAATATATCGTATTAACCGAGCGCGAGGGCCGTACTGGGAGAATATCGGCCCGGCCGAGGTCTTGACAGTACGGACCGAGCGCAGCGAGGTCTTGACAGCGCGAACCGAACGCAGTGAGGTCCGTACAAAAAAGACCGAGGGCCGATCTTCTTCCAGTACGGTCCCGAGCAAGCTTGGTTATTAGGGAGCTTAAGCAACCACGACGAAAGGGACGACGACGACGTCAAGTAATCGAAGAGGATCTGGAACGAGGACGTCGTCTTTAGCGGGAAAATGAAACTTAAGCATTGAAGTTGCTCAAGGACGACGACGTCTAAAATCTTGTTTATTCTCGCTTCGTCAGTTTAAGAAATGACATCGTTCAGAGACGTCCAAAACTTTCTTCTAACTCATGGATCAAATTTCCACCTATATATCGAGAGTTCGATATATAGGTTCAATTCTTGAACATCAACTGTCCAAGGAATTATTAAGCTTTAGCTTTATTTACAATAATTTACGCATCGCAAAAGTTTAAAATATTAAATTTTACGCAAGTTATTTGAGATTTAAATTCAGTTCTAAGTGTTGCTGATATAAACAAACTTATTTTGCACAAGGTTTGCCTGATTTTCAACATGCTTTAGCCTGATATGTTCTATCTTTGATGCTCGTTCCTTTGGCGAGCAAACGAAGGAAGTCTGTCAAATTTAATCAATGCTAGCTAGCGATCGGCACAGATAGCAGTGGTCGCGCTTCACCCAAGAATACTATTTTTTCCCTTGTGATTTTCCCTCTATGCTTTTTCGTTACTGTCCTGAACCTAGGCATTTTATTACCTTCTGGGTATTTGGGTTTCTTCCGTGGGCACAAATCGTTACATTTCATACTCTTGTTTTTAATACAAGTGCACTCTCTCCGGCAATCGGAAGTGAATATCTTCGTGCCTTTTCT